TTATTTTATTTTTAGTGTGTGGCCAGCTCAGCCCACCAGGGGGCGGGGTTGGCTGGCATGTGGTGCTGGGGGATTGAACTGCGGTCCCTGTGCTTTGCTTAGCTGAGCTTGTTCTAAATAGATGCTTTAGACCACTGAGCCATCTTACCAGCCCTTTCTTCCTTTAATGATGACATTTTATTAATTCTTACTCAAGGTAGAAAGCTTTGTCTGCTCTACATCTCCAAATTTGTAATTACACACCCTGCTCCATGTCATCCTCATGAAGATTTCATTGCATTTATTTATTTTGACTAGAATAGAAAATTCTCGTGTATATGAAGAATAATATTGTGTGCCTTCTATGTACCTGGCCGTCTAGCTACATATAATTTACTTTCCAATTTCAGGACTTCATGTACTTCGAAAGCTCTCCACCACAGCAACATTCATCAAGAAGATAGAGGAGTATGGAAAATGTCAATTACATTCCAATTTTAGTGCATTTGCTGCCAAAGCAAGCATTGGATTGCCAATTACGATAGCAAAGGGAAGTGTTGCATTAGGTTTAGAGTCAACGCTCAATTTTGGCAAGTACATTACTGTAGTCTTCATTTTATTTGGGAGGTGGTGCTTAGCTTTGACAGACCCGCTGAAGTTTAAGTGGAAAGCCACAACCAGACCTAAGTTTCCACTGATTAGCTGTCCACGCGGTAGATTAGGGCTTTGTGTTGAAAAACCATGACACATTGGCCAAGTAAACTTAACACAAAATTAGTTCTTAAACACTACACACATGTGGTAATAAAAAGAATAATCAGAGTTATCACATTAATAGGTAGTGAAATGAAGGATTATTGTTTGGCCCAAGCAACATGGTTTCTATCTATAGTCCTTTCCCCTCCTCTGTTTTCTATCAACATGTCCTGTGATAGAAGACAAATTGATTCCAGGAGAAAGAGAAGAATTTTTGCTTTTGGAATCAAAAGAGAGAAATAGTACCTTGTGTTATACAAGAAAAACTTTTATATGCACATATTTCAGAACTTCACTCTACAAACTTTGCCAAAGTTTTGACGGAAAACCTGATTTCATTACAAAATAAGACATGTATCCTTTTAGTGCGGTATTTAAATTTTTCTCAGGTTTCCTCAGGGCATGGCATGAATAAACAGCAGCTGCTTATACACAAGGCTGAATCAGACTACCAGGCAAGTGTCCAACCTGAGCCACAACCAGCTGAAGTCTCAGCATTGTAGGGACATCAGTGCCCTGTAAGAACCACACACTTAATACAGTTATATATGATACATTTACACACAATGCATTCATCTTTACTGGTCACATATGAAATATATGTGTAGCCAAATCTCTGACTTCCTATAGTCAATTGATTTTTTTTTTTTAATTTTCTTTCCAAGTTAACTGGTGACCACCAGGCTGTTTTACAGGCAAGATATTAAGCTGTTCTTTAGTTTGAAATGTGTTTTAATGTAGCAGTTGATAAAAGCAAAAGCTACAAATTATGGCAATGCTTCGTTGCTTTTTGTTTACACGTTTAGAAAATAATAAACCCCAGCAGATACGCTGCTGTGTCATCTAGTTTATTGCTGAGAATTATGTGAGATCAAAAGTTATCAGTTGTGCTTGCTTGTATTAACTCATTTAAAACATAGTGTGTAAGTGAATGTACTTTAACTGGCCGTACTGCACATTAGCATCCTATGTAGATATAGCCTGTGTTCTTTAGACACAGCTAGTAATTAGATTGGAATGTATTCTTTTACAGCTAATTAAATTTTTAAAAAGCCTGAGTGTTCTTAAGGGGGCTATTTTGAGAAAAGAGACTTGGACCACAGATCTTTTTAAAATGAAAGAAAGGTGCTTCCTTTTTAAATTATGCTAATCTTTTTATGACAAAAGTTTTTTATTTAGTTATTTGTAATATTATTTTTACATGCTGCTACTGGCTTCTTTTTAAAACAATGTAAAAGCTGCTGCTCTCTAAAGTAAATGCCTTATATTTGAAAATATAACCTTAATAAGATGTATTTCTTATAATGATGCTTTTGACATTTTATATAGAAAAGTTGAGATTGAGAAAGTTTTTAAACTTTCTATTTTTATCTGCTCATAGTCCTATATTTGAAGATTTGCATAACAGTATAAGAAAGAATGTTTTAAATTTGTTTGATATTTTTGTGATATTAATGTGCCTCCTATGGTTACTAGACTTCTTTAGAAATTATACCATGTAATACATTTTGGAATTTAATTCACAATATAATTCCTGTACTTTAAATGCTATTTCATTGTGTAATATTTCAAGTCACTGATAAACAGAAGCTATCCTTCAAAGTTTGTGTATTCTTATTTTCTTTATGTGTTCAGGCTTTTAAATAAATTAGTATGGTGAATAATAAAGTACTTTTTATATGTGGAGTTTTAATATGTTTTCCAAAGGTACTTCTAAAATAAATTTTTATTAGTTATTACCCTCATTCAAGGTCCTTATTTTCTGAAAGCAATTTACTATAGTGTTGAGTAGTAATACCTGGAACTCCTATATAACAAGTTATTTATAAGTGCTAATAAAATTATTTAAGATACATTAACTGTAATTTTGTTTTTATTTTTTAAAATTTTTTATCATTGTATGAATATACCATATTTTATTTATTTACAGATGACAAAGTTTTGATTGTGTCTGAATTTTAAAAAACTCTACTGCTGTAAATTCCTAATTGGTTGATCTTTCAAATTATCTAGTTAATTTTTGTATTAGGGTTTCACTAGAGGAACAGATATAGTACAAAGAACAGATATAACACAAGATCTACAAATGTATAAGAAATTACAAGATTAACTTATGACAACCAGCTGCAGAGTTGGATGAGGAAGCGTGCAGAGGGCGTCTGCACACCCGGGACTGAAGGGTTGAGTCCCGAGGTCTGAAGCTCACTGCAGTGCTCCTTGTGAGTCTCTTATCAGTTGGCCAATGGGTTTGTGATGGAAGGCTGAAGAATCTGCAATGGAAGCTGAAGAATCGAAGCCAGAGGCTGAAGAGTCTGCGCTGGAAGCCAGGAGATAGAGTCCAAGCTGACTGCAAATACTGAAGTTCCTCCAAAAGAGTGGAAGGCTGAATCCTTCCTCAAGCCCCTTATATAACCTTAGTGTGTTGAGCCACCCTGGGGCGGGGCCCCCATGGCCCAGGGTATGGAACCACGCAGGTAATCCAGCCAAGCTGATGCAATGTATCAACCACTACAACTTTCTTCCTAAAGGCTTTTGGGAACATGGGTCTCTATATTGGTATAGCACAATGTCATAATTTCTTATAAACAATGACTTTGTGAAGTCATTTTCTTTTTTTAAAAAAAAATATTTCTATTGAGAAATAGTAATGAGACAGTTTCACAACTGATTATTAGTACATTTTCAATAATACGTTGCATATTGTTATCTTAGTGGTTATTCATTGTACAAGATGCAGACCTGATATTCTGTCTCAAATACTATTAGAACAAACCTCTCTATTCATTGAATTAAGAGAATGGAGCTTTATATGTATCCTAGCTATTTTGAGTATACAGACACAAAAATGTTCATTCATTTGTATTCCCCTTTTTTGGTTAGTTTTGTCAGAGAAGGGCATTACATTGTCATTTAGATACTCTAGGTGCATGAATTCAGCAACATATCCCAATATAGTCCAATAGTCCATAATAGTAGTGGGTTTTCCATAAAACTGTCAAGGTCCGAAGTTGTTGACTTGAGCATTTTACAGCTCATCATATTAATATGGCTTTACTTTTGTACTTCATTTGCATACTTTTCTGCTGGATGGTTAAGACCAAGAAAGAGCAAGACCTATATAAGAAGAAATGTAACTTTTGTATCTGATAAGGTCAGTCAAATCCCCTCAGAATTTAACCTGAAACCCCGAATCTCAGTTTGTAGAACCTTTATCAGTGTCAGCCATATGAATGAGTCACAGCCATTGCTTGACCAATTTGCTCTCTGTGAAAGCTTGAGAGAATGTTTCTCTTCACGTGACTCTCCTTAGACACACTCTACATTATCAATCACTTTCCTCTGTGGCCCTAAAATCTCCTTGATCAGAAAATTTGGGACACAATTGAGTTACAGGATGTTACAGTACAGGTTCTCCTATTTCCTGAGTCCTTACTGACCTTGAAATGCTAGAGCCAAAATGTTGGCTGTTCTTGTAACTCTTCTTTTTCTTTAATTTTTGGTCTGCAATCTTAAGTTGTTAACCCTACAGAAGAGAAGCTTAATGATTTTATTGCATAGCATAGGCAGTTGAGCTTAACCTCACTACCTGTCTGAATATCAAACATCTTAGGTATAACATGGAACAGGTATTTTCCATCAAGTATTGATATGTTAAACTTTGAGTCCCTCCAGAATATGAAGAAAAAAGACTAAAAAGATAAAAAATTATTTAAAAATAAGAATAAGTGTTTACATATTTTTACACAGAAATTTAGAAATCTAAAAATATACAACCTTGTAGCAGGACAATCCTGTGACTTTTTTGTCTCATGTTTTCAATTATTACCCCCCTTTTTTTTAAACCTTTACTTGAGAGACAGTATGGCCATAATTGATATGTCATGTCAAGCAGTATATAATTAAACCAGAATGACAGGCATTCCAAGCATGACTCTACTGTTACACATTGCTTTCTTCAGTGCAGTTGCTTCATTCACATGTATCCACATATATAGGCAAGGTGAGAGACCTATCAATTAACTGCTATTTTCAAAAACATGCTGAACATTCTCAGGACCATTGCCTTTCCCATCTTGTGCATATAAATATGTGACTTTGCCCCTGTCATGTTTTCTAGCTTTTCTCTTTACTCTTCATTAACTAATCCTCAAATTCTCACTTTCCTTTTAATTGTGTTATGACTTTCTATTTTTATTTCTTCCTTTGAGTCCTTATACTAGGGAGACTATACGATATTTATACATGTGGGTCTGGTTTATTTCACTCATGAGTATATCTTCAAGTGGCATCCACTTATATATAAAGGCTTCAAGTTTCTAATTCTTTATAGCTGAGTAATATTCCATTGTATAAAAATACCACATCTTTTTCATCCATTCCTCAGGTAATGGGCATTGTGGTTGTTTCCAAGATTTGGCTATCACAAATTGTGCTGCTATAAATATAGGTACACATATATCCCTATGATATGATGTTTTCAGTTCCTCTGGGAAAATTCCCAGTAGGGGGTTAGCTGGTTTGAATGGGATTTCCACTCCTAGTTTTTTAAGGAGTCTGCACACTGATTTCCATAACGGTTGCACCAGTCTACACTCCCACCAGCAGTGGAGAAGGGTTCCTTTTTCCCCACAGCCTCGCCAACATTTGTTGTTGGTTGATTTGTTTATGATAGCCATTCTTTCTGGGGTGAGATGGTATCTCAGTGTTGTCTTAATTTGCATTTCATGGGTGGCTAGTGATGTGGAGCATTTTTCCATATATTTATTCACTTCTTTAATTTCGTCCTCTGAGAAGTGTATATAATTTTAATAATATGACACTACACAGGAAAGCTGCTAAGATTTATAACTGTGTTAGTCAAGATACATTTTAAAACACTATTTTCTCTTTCTTTTTGTTCTTTTTTTGCTCTTTTTTTTTTGACAGAGTCTTGCTTTGTAGTCCAGGTTGCCCTCAAATTTGAGGTAATTCTCCCAACTCAGCTTCTGAAGTGCTGAGATTACAGGTGTATACTACCATGCCCTGCTTGAAACACCTAAGTGAGTACTGATCTACTTTTGGAATTCCATAGCAATTCCACAGGAGTGGAACACAATGAATTGTGTTCCTTCAAGTTCTTGTTTCTTGAAGTTTTCTAAGTAACATATATGAATTTCATGCAAAAACTCAAAAAATTTCCATCTTCAACATAAATGAATTAAAACATTTTTCTTAGTGACCAGATTTTCCAGACACTATACAAAAGTAGGTGACCAAAATAGTAATAGCTGGATTTTCCAACCACCTAGGTGTTAAACTCCAGTATAAAACAAATGGTGATTCTAGAGTATTGAATATTGCTGCTGTTGGGGAAGCTGGCTTCTTCTCAGTCCTTCTACCCCTGTGTTCAAGATTTAATATAATCTCTACTGAAAGATGCAACAATGGAAAACCCCTGGGTCTGGATTTAATAAACTAATGTCAAATTCAGCTGCGGGGCTAGTTACAGCACATGTTTAAGATGGATCCTTTCCAGTAACTTCATCATGCATTTTCTATTTGCCTTTAGGCTTTCTAAATTGTAAATCCTAGAAAATAGAAGTGCACAATGAAACATCTGAATACAGTCAACGTGAGACAGCATGATATGCTGTATAATACTTAATGTGGCCAATAATACATTTGACAGGCATTTGTTTGGCATTTGCTAAATGAATACATGAGGGATGTATCTTTGAAATATTTAGTGTAGTATCCAGTACAAATGTTTACCATCCTTTCCATTGTTTTTCATTTTATCAGTAAGCACTTAATTGAGCACCTACTAAATTAAACATTTCTGAAAGGCAGAAGGAAATACACAGATAAAAAAAATGGATAGCTTCACTCTGAAGGACATGCAGAACACACCCTGTTAAGAACTATGATAGATATTTGCCGCTGGGGTGTTGGTACATTCTCAAGAAGTCGCATCACAGGCATGGTTTCAGGTGCTATATAATATATTCTTATCATACTTAATAAAACGGGTAAGGCAGAATGATCATGTTATTGCCAAGGAAACTTTCTGGCAATGGGGGAGCTAAGATGCATTTTATTACCATGCCTGCAAGCAGAATACATGGTGAATGCAATGGAAAAGGTCAGCTTTGCAGGTTTCAGCAAGCAGGGCAGGCATTGCTTGCTCATTGCAGTAAGACATAAGCCTAAGATGGTGTCTGGTTCATTTAAGGTTTATTAAGCCTGAGTAGGTGCCGAATAAATGAACGAAACTCCTACTCTGCCCATGACACTGTGCTAGTATTCAAGGAGACTGACTGAGTACAAAGTCTTCTGTCCTTCAGCAAGGGTGACACAATATATTACTATACCTCAGTGCTAAGTAACTATTGTGTAAAGCAAATACACACTTTTTGTTTGAGAAATGCTCATTACCAAGTTCCACAACAACACCATGAGGTAAAGGCCAATTCCATTTTTCAGAGAAACAATATACTTCATCAAGAGGTGGTAGTACCCAAAACAAGGATGCTAAGCAGTTTCTTTCCCCAGCTGTAACATAATTAAGGTAAAGGAAAGAAGTATATAAAAGGGGACAAACTTGAGAGCTCCTAGGAGAGGTGGGGCAAGTGGAATTTAGGTAACAGCAGAGCCTAGAGTGCTGCCAGTCTAACAGCTCCAACCACCAAGCTAAGACCAGTTGTCCC